ACATTTTTTGAACAAACTGATTTAGTCTTCTTAAAATACTATGTAACCTTAAATTAATAATATATCAAGAAAATACAAATTGTAAGCAAATTATCTTGCAAACAGAATAAGAGATAAATAAACCTATTAGATATTAGCGATAAGATGATTTAACTTGTTGAAATTTGGAGTTTTGAGAAAAGGTCCAATTCTGTAAATCCACTGATATGCATTAGCTTTATTCTATACAAACAACAGTTATATTCAGAATTTTACAGAGGATTTTTATTTATTTATTTATAGACACTGATGCCTTCAAGGGTTTTCACAAATGATTTTTTTTATTAAAATCTAAAGTATTTTGTTAACAAAATTTTACTTTATATTATATACTAATAGTAATGATAAGCAGCAAATTTTTTTTTTATTTTTTAAATTATTATTTTTTAAATTTAAACATAAGTTTTTGCTACAAAACAGTAAAAATTCAACTTAGTTTATAAAACTTAAATTTTAACTAACTTTGAACTAAAATTAAATCACTACAAATAATTATTAGAATTTTTTATTAATTTTTTATAATATAATTGTATGTAAATACTACTATATGTATTATATTTTATTATATAAAACTTATAAAAAAACCTTAAAATACAAACATATAAAGAACATTTTCTATTAAACCTGTTAATTATGACATATATCTATTTAAAAAGAAAACCAATTTAAATTATTATTGCTAATAAATTTTATAAAATAAAATTATCATTATAAACATACCAAAATTTTCAAAATTATTAGTAATATCAAACTTAATTTTAAATAAATAAATATTACATAATTTTTAATATATACATATTTATTAACAAAAATAAATACCTTCAAATGCTTTTGAAATAAATATTGTACTGATAATTTTGCTAGTGTATACTTCATCAGAATGCTCTGCTACAGGCGATGGTTTGATATCTTTATCAGCGTCTAAGAATTGTCTTTTAATTTCATTATTATCTGAACTTCCCAAGATTTCAATCCATTCATAAAATTTCTGATAAACTTCTTGCGAAGTAGGCCGATTTTCTGGATCAGCATCCATACATTTCTGTGCCAATTCAACATAGCAATTGGGAGTTCCATGTGCAATTTCTGGACGTAATCCTTTGCAAATTTTGACTGCAAGGTTTGTATCGAATTTGAAACCATCAAAAGGTCTTCGTCCAGTTGACATTTCAGCCATGATAATACCGAAGCCATAGATATCCGATTTTTGTGTAAAATCTTTCTTTCCTAACAAAACCTCCGGAGCAACATACGGCATGATACCATAAATATTACCTTATGAAACACATTCATCATTCTTTCTAGACAATCCTAGATCTGCAATATATGAGCACTTGTCTTGCAAAATGTTGCCACTATGAAAATCAGCATGAATGTATCCCGCAAATCTGTGAATATCATCTAACTCATCTGAAATGTCTTTAAGTATTTGCAATTTAGCCTGCCATGTAAGTTCAGTAAACCTTTTTCTTAAATATTTATGAAGGCTCCCTTCATCAGCATACTGAATTACAATTAAATATTCATTTGTTTTTGTATTTTGGGTTATTCCATAAATTGCAAGCCTTTTCTTACTCAAATAATTTAAATTACATTTCATTAGACTTTTAAGCTTAAGGTATAAAAAAATAATTAGATCAATCAATTATCAAATAAATTATAAACGTAATAATTAATTATAACTTACTTCCTTTAGAAAATCAAAATTATTTCCCTTAGAGCTAGTCAATGCCTTGAGCGCAACGGTGCTTGATGCTTCACGCGTTCTTATATAATTATAATCACTTCCATCAACTTTTCGTACACCATCCAACCATGTTGCTGAATATACAGAGCCAAATCCTCCTTTCCCAATTTCTTTAATATTGGATAATCGATCGAATGGAATCCATTCAATTACATCCTCATATTGAAATGTTCTAAGTTGAAATTCTCTGACGCAATTATCAATATCGTAACTTATACTTTTCCATTCGTGAATAGTAATATCGGGATCACATGATAGACACCATGCTGGTTGCGTGTTATCTTCATTACAACATGCACATTTTCCATATTTAGAAACGCTTTATAGTATAGTATTTTATTTTATCTGTCATGTTATTATAAACTTTATATCAAATACAAAAAATTTTTATGCTCACCGACTAAATTAATGCGAATGAAATAATTTTCATGTAATAGTAAATAAGTATTTATGTTCTTGATTTATAATCTTTTTTTAATTCCAATCATTAATAAATGTTCTTTATACTCACTTACTAAATACGAATGAATGAATGATTAATGATTTTTATGTAATGGTAAATATGTATTTATGTTCTTGATTTGTGATCTTGTTTTTAATTCTATTCATTAATAAATGTTCTTTTATACTCACAGACTAAATTAATATGAATGAATGATTAATGCAAATGAAATGATTTTTAAGTAATAGTAAATATGTATTTATGTTCATGATTTGTGTTCTTGTTTTTAATTAAAATCATTAATAAATGTTGTTTATACTCACCAACTAAATTAACATGGATGAATAATTAATGCAAATGAAATTTTTTATGTAATGGTAAATAAGTATTTATGTTCTTAATTTAATTCCACTCATTAATATATGTTCTTTATACTCACAGACTAAATTATTATGAATGAATGATTAATACGAATGAAATGATAAATAAGCATTTATGTTCTTGATTTGTGATCAATAGATGTTGTTTATACTCACCGACTAAATTAATATAAATGAATGATTAATGCGAATGAAATAATTTTCATGTAATGGTAAATAAGCATTTATGTCCTTGATTTGTGACCTTGATTTCAGTTCCAATCATTAATAATGTTTTTTATACTTACTAACTAAATTAATATTATGATTAATAATTTTCATGTAATGGTAAATAAGTATTTATGTTCTTTATTTGTGATCTTGTTTTTAATTCAAATCATTAATAAATGTTCTTTATACTCACTTACTAAATTATTATCAACGAAATGTTTTTCATGTAATGGTAAATAAGTATTATGTACTTAATTCGTGATCTTATTTTTAATTTCAATCATTAATAAATATTCTTTATACTCACAGACTGAATTAATGTGAATGAATGATTAATGTGAATGAAATGGTTTTTACGTAATGGAAAATGTATTTATGTTCTTGATTTGTGATCTTGTTTTTCATTCCAATCATTAATAAATGTTCTTTATACTCACAGACTAAAATAATATGATGAATGTTTAACGCGAATGGAATGATTTTCATGTAATGGTAAATAAGTATTTATGTTCTGGTTTATGATCTTGTTTTTAATTCCAATCATTGTTTTTACTCACCGACTAAATTAATATGAATGAATTATTAATGCGAATAAGTATTTATGTTTGATGCCTGATCTTGTTTTTAATTCTAATCATTAATCATTAATAAATGTTCTTTATACACACATACTAAATCAATGCAAATGAAATAATTTAAGGGTATTATGCATTATTAAATAAATATTTATGTCCTTGATTTGTGAACTTGATTTTTAATTGCAATTATTAATGAATGTTCTTTATACTTACGGGCTAAATACGGTAAATATAAATAATTATTTTTATAAGCTTAATAATTACAGTAATTGTAAATTAATAGGTTTTTTTATACACACTCCCTGATAGATAAAATTGAATTATTAAAATTGTATAAAAATATTCTCAATTTTAATATTGAAATTAAAAAATTAGCTTACTTTTTAATCCATTCTCTATATTTGTCATCACTTTGTTCCACGCCAATTCCGTAATAGTAACAAATAGCAGTTTTCCGAATTCCCATGGAATTACTCGCCTCAGTTGACTTCAAATAATGCTCAAAAGCTTTCTTCTTATCGATTTCAGCCCCGATTCCTAAATAATAACAATAACCAACTTGATAAATTCCGATAGGATTATTAAGATCGGCAGATTTTTGATAACTAACGAATGCTTTGTTTTCATCCTTTTCAACTCCAATCCCATGTTCGTAACAATACCCGAGCCTATATGATCCTTCTCCATCATTCATATCGGATGATTTCTTATACCAAGTAAATGCCTGGCGTTCATCTTTTTCAACACTAACACCTTGAAGATAACAATTACCAACTTGAATCATTCCATCGGCACGTCCCATTTCATCGGATAAAATGATAAGTTTAGAGAATCCTTTTGAATTACCCGCCTTTGCTGAATTCTTGTAATACTCAAATGCTTCATTCTGATTAATTTCAACACCAATCCCTTGAAGATAAAAATTACCGACTTGAAGCATTCCCTTAGAATTCCCCGCATCAGACGATTTTTTATACCAATCAAATGCCTGGAGTTCATCTTTATCAACCCCATTCCCTTGATGATAACAATTACCGACTTGAAGCATTCCATAAGAATTATTCATATTTGCTGATTCTTGATAATAATCGAATGCCTTATATTCATCTTTTTCAACATCAATTCCATGTTCATAGCAATAACCAAGCATGAATTTTCCATTAGATTCTCCTTTTTCTGCTGATTTTTGACAATTCTCAAAACTTAATTCGCCAAATTTGTTAGTGAGTTCGTTAATTTCATCAGCTGACTGTTTAGTTGACATTTTAGATGTAAAAAATTAAAAAAAGGTTTAGAGAGTAAAAAAAATTTCGTTGAAACTATTTATCAATACGCCACATTTAATCATATTGGTAATAATATATCCTAAATTGTCAATTTGTTTACTTTGTGAAAGAAAGATCTTCAGCCTTCTGGTACCAGGTGTCTGGAATAAAAAACGTTAATCCGAAATAGTCCACTTACAAAGACCAAAGACAGCAAAAACAAGGGCGTTAACCCTCATACAACAAAGGCACAGGGTTGTACAGGCGATTATCGGGAAGAATAAAGACAAAGTAGCTAAATTACATGACCAAAACTCACTAAGCTTTAAAGACAAAAAGATGATAAACTTAGAGACATCAAAGCCAAGTAATGAGTATTCCAACAGTAACTTGACAATTAACTTGGCAAACACGTATGTCTGAAGCTGATCTGAGGATCTGGAACAAGAATATGTAGAGAAGGGACCATTTATAGTCAGCAGCTCTGATAGAGAGTTCTCGTATACTCAACCAGAAAACTCTATGGAAAATCTAATAGAAGGTTCTGAAAAATCATATAAATTGGAGTCAGGTGATGTGCAATCAGAAAAAGATGAATCAGTTTGTGACAGAAACATTAAAGAAAGTCAACAAAAGCAAAGTCTTGGGCTGGCCTTTTTTTAAAATTATTTAGGAGGCAAGTCATATATATCCTTTTTATCCTGTATTGGTATTAGAACAAAGAACAACAATGCCTTGATCTTTGACATTCAAGACCTTAGGAGTATACTGATCAATGAAATATTAACTGTACTGCACAGCAAACTGGAAGCTGTTATAATAGGCATCAAATCTCATTTATCTAAAGAAATGCATTTCCACTTAGGAATTGTATTTAGAGACTCTTTAATTATGAGAAAATAATCTTAAAAGAAATCTTATTATTTAACTAAACTATTTATGATTACATCTCTACTAGATTAAATCAAAATTTTTCTTTCATTTATAATATGCAATATTTTCATAATTAAGAAAAAATTTATTTCTAAAAAGATTAAAAAGGTTTTTTAGAATTTTGGTTACATTAATTCTATTAGATCATTATTGTATCAAGAATCATTATTTCTTTAAATCAATGGATTTTTGTGTTTGAAACAACAGATAATGTTAATTTAGAATACAGAATTTCTAGATACATCTATTTATGAGACCAGAAGATTATACAAAGTGAATAGTTATTCTCAAAATTAGTTATTTATATAACAAAGAAGGTTACATTAAGAAAGAATAAAAAAAATTTATTGAAATTATTAAATTTGACTAAGTTATTGAATATATAAAGAAGTGAAACAAAAAATATAAGAGCAAACTAAGAACAAATACACTATACAGAAGACTTAGAAGAGAATGAAGACTGTTACATAAAGAAGATTTTATTTAATAATCTTAAAGGAAATTTAAAAATTTTGATTCAGAATAAATGTACAAAAGAGTTGAACATTTCAATATAAAGAGTATTAAACATAATACAAGTTAAGAATATAAGAAGTTGAAAGTAGTTAGAATAACTGTTGAATTTAATAATTTGAAAAAAGCTTTTATAATAAGAAAATCTAATTTATATCAATTTATAGTTGCTAAAAATATAAATCCAATTGAACATAAATTCAACTTAAATAATAATGTTTTCATTAATGTAATAAGCAAAAAAAATATAAATTTAGAAAATAAAAAGGATTTAAACAGGAAAACTTTATAAAAAAATCAAAATTAAAAAATAAATAAGAAAACTATTATTAAAATCATAATTCTAAATGTCAAAGAATTAAAAAACTATAATAAATCTTATAAAACTTTTATCTTACTGAAAAGTTATAATACTTAATTTAAAAAACAAATATAAATAAAAAGAAAAGCAGAAATTATCTTAAATAACAATAATTATTTAATTCATATTAGATATACAAAACTACTATACTAACAAAAAACAATAAAATTAAATTAGATAATGCTTAAAGAATGAGTTATAAAAACAACTTTCATATTTAATTATATATTATTTTAAATAACCAACTTATATACCTCTTCTAATCTGATAAACAGATCAACCTTTTTTGAATTTGATTATCAACTATTAAAGACAATTTAATTAATATAATTATATAAAATTTTATTATAAATTTGAATTTAAATTATAATAAAATTAATTAAATATCAATACACTATAATCTATTAGAAAATAAACCAAAACAACTAACAATAGATTATATATATATAACAGAACTATTTAGTATAAAACCTTTATAATATACTATCAAAAAGTTAGAAACAATTAATTAATAATAACTAGACTAAACTACATTTTTATAGATAATATACATACTTACTTATATAAGAAAATTGAAACACAGCAACTCTTTCTGCAAATCCATTGCACAAAAATTAACTAAAAAATCATTCGTCTAAAAACACTCATAACTATTTATTTTACTAAGACAACCTGTCCTGGCGTCTTAAGTAAACTTGTTCAGCAT